ATATTAGAGTCTTTTTAACCCTGAACTTATTCAAAGATGATCTATAAACCTTTAAGAACTTATAAATAATGTTGAAAAGTTGTTAGTATTTTGATTTTTACAATTTTTTTAAGAGAGATTTTATTGACTTGATACATGTTTGTACTTACTTTTGACATCTGGTTCCGGCGTTATGAAGACCTATTTAAATTTGATTTTGCTAATCAAGATGATGCTTTGAAGATTAGGCAGACCACGTACTGTGCCGACAACACAAAAACCTCGTAGTGCATGCAGTGATCACCTATGTTTGTTGGGACAACTAGATTGTAAAGTGTCTTTTCACGATTCGACGTTCACTGGGGTATGTTACATAACGCCAGCTGATTTGAATTTACTTGATTTAGATTGGTTCTACCAGCTGCATTTAGCTGATGTCCTGTTAAGCACCGTATGCCATCTGGTGAAACAACCCCATGAACCTGTAGCATATACGAAGAAGCTAAAGACGGAGTTTTCAACCATTTTCCAGCCTCTATTGGGTCAGTGCACTTCTATGAAAGCAACACTTCGGTTGAAACCTGGAGCTAAGCCTATCTTCCGTCCACAGAGACATGTGCCGTATGCAGCATTATCGAAAGTTGATGAAGAACCCAATCGCCTTGAACTACAGGGAGTTATTACACCTGTTTCTTATTCTGCTTGGGCAGCACCCATTGTGGTTATTAAGAAAGCAAATGGTACAGTACGAATATGCGTTGATTTCTCAACAGATCTTGATGCAGCTCTGGAACAAAATCACTACCCGTTGCCAGTTCCTGCGGATCTGTTCACTATGCTAAATGGCGGAAAATGTTTTGCAAAGCTGGATCTCGATGATGCCCATCTACAAGTGGAAGTGGCTGAAGATTCGAGAGAGTTACTTACCATAAATACTCATCATGGCTTGTTTCAGTACAATCGCCTAGCATTTGGTGTTAAAACAGCTCCATCTATTTTTCAGCAACTAATGGATACCATCCTACCAGGTATCCCGGGGGTCGCAACTTCTATGATATCTTAATTGTTGCCACATCGTTAGAACAGCTTCGAGAACGCACCACAACTGTACTACAACGTGTCAGCGATAACGGATTCCGATTCCGCCCAGAAAAATACCAGCTTTTCCTGAAGTCAGTAAAATACTTGGGATTCATCTTTGGTGCCGAAGGTTGCAGACCAGATCCTGAAAACATCCGAGCTATAAAACTGATGCCGACTCTCACTAATATCTCTGAGCTATGATCATTCTTGGGACTAATTAGCTACTACTCAGCTTTTGTTCCGTTGATGAATCACATACGCGCCCCCCTAAATTATCTCTTGAATAAGAATACTATTTGGAACTGGACAAAAGAGTATGAAGCTGCATTTTGCAAGCTGAAAACTATCATTAGATTTGAACTATTATTGACGCACTACGACCCATCCATACCAATCATTGTGGCTGCAGATGCTTCAGCTTTGGACCCGGTTCTGTCATTTCACACCAGTTTCCGGACGCAACAGAGAAAGCTATTATGCATGCATCTCTCACATTAACTCCAGCGGAAAGAAAGTACAGCCGAAGAGAGAAAGAGGTTTTCGCCCTTGTGTTCGCAGTACGCCGTTTCCACAAATCCTTGTGTGGTCGAAGATTCACTTTTCTCACCGTTCACAAGCCTCTTCTCACAATTTTCGCTTCGAAATCTGGTGTTCCAGCCCATTCTGTAAACCGTCTCCAGCGATGGGCTTTGATTTTGACATTCATTACCGGCGCACCCAATAGTTTGGTCAAGCTGACGCCTTGTCACGAATTATCAGCGAACACCATACGGCCGACGAAGATGCGGTTATTGCCTCCCCAATGACAAAGGACCACGCGCAATGTTACCTGACAACTGCTGTTCGTGCTTCTCCAGTCTCAGCAGCTGAAATACAACCTACCTCCAGGAACGACTCCATCATTAAGAGAGCGATGAAATACGTCACCAATGGCTGGCCGTCAAGTGGACTCAATGGTGACTTGAAGCAGCTTTACCACCGTCTGGACTCATTATATGTCGTAAATGAATGCTTGATGTTTGGAGATAGAGTGGTGGTACCAGAGTCCCTACGATCAAGAGTGCTAAAGCAATTCCACACCGGTCATCCTGGTATAAAACGAATGAACTCCATCGCCAGAAGCTATGCTTATTTGCCCCTCATGGATCAACACATCGTGGATTTAGTAGGCAAGCGCACACAGTGTCAGCAATCGGCTAATTGTAACGCGAAAGTACTGCCGGTCCCATGGCCACAACCTGAGCATCCCTGGTCCAGGTTACATGTCGATTTCGCAGGCCCAATTACTGGAATCACCTATCTAGTCGTTGTTGACGCCTTTTCGAAATGGCCAGAAATCGTTCCTGTCGTGCCACCAACGACCACTCAAACAATCCAACTTTTGACGGAGATGTTCTCCCGCACCGGATTACCAGATGTAATCGTATCCGACATCGGTTCGCAGTTCACCTCAAGTTAGTTTCAAGAATTTTGTGAACACCTATCGATCAAACATTTCCGTTCTCCACCTTACCACCTACAGTCAAATGGCCAAGCAGGAAGATTTGTGGATACATTCAAGAGAGTTCTAATCAAGTTGACAGGGGAGGGGACGCCAGTAGAAACACTGCGGAATTTCTTTACCGAACAGCACCTAGTGATGTGCTACCAAAGTAGAAGTCCCCGGAAGAAATCCTGATGGGAAGGAGATTGAGGACGATCCACAGTCTGATGTGCCCAAAAATCACACCACCACCATCTCAGGAGCCGCCAACGTACGAGGTTGGATGCCCGGTATTCGCTCGAGACTACAGAGCAAATCATGGTCCTTGGACCGAAGCACGTGTGGTTGGAAGACTAGGCCAAGTTATGTACGTCGTAAAGGTGGGAAGAGACACGTGAACTAGACGCCGAGACCAACTACGGAAGCGGATAGCCCCAGACCGCCCATCAACATGAGTAAATCTTCCTCTTGACGGCCTGTTTGATACCTTCAACTTACCAGCAGCCCCACCACGAGAAAAAGCTCAACAACAAGCTGGTCTCTGTTCCAGAAGGTGACCCTTCCGATAGCGGCGAACAAAAGTCAAGATGCAAGTCGACCTCAGGAAAGTATGCTATTAAAAAGGGGAGGTGTGTTGGGGACGTTAGATCCCCAGAACTCACTTGGAAAAGGACCTAATTTTGTAATTTTATTTATAAAATTTGAATTTCTTTGTTTTTGCGCCAAAAGCGCTCCTGTCACCTTTAGGTCGTATTTCCCACTTGGGAGAATCTTAAATGCCATTGGTCCATTGTGTCTTTTAGTATACTATTTTGTAACTCTCCCTAAGGATAGTTTTGTGCTATATATATATACGCTTTGATTCGTGTTTGTTGTTATCGCTCGTTTCTGGCTATTTGCGGAATATACTTCCCCTGTTTCAAGCTTGGACTTCTTCCTCTAGTTAGCGGGGCTGGGACGCACCAAATAGCTAGCTTATTGGTTTTTGGTCAGCGAGTTTTTGTTCTGTTCGCAGTCTAAATGAACTCGTAACCGCTTCAAACCTAACAGATTTCCGTGAAAGTGGTTGTATACACGTGTCCATATTGAGAGCATTTGGAGAGGGAGAGCTGACTCTTCCCACTCTCAACCGTACCAGGGCATTTGGGGGCTTGTGAGATTATCCCGTTTGTAATTGAATAGCCGTAAGAAAGTGATGAATTCATTTTATCGTTCAGATCTTATGACTTACTGCATTGCTTGAAAAGTAATTCAGTTTTATACGTGAATAAACATATCTACTTTAATTTATGCAAATTCTGTGATACATTAACAAAGTGTAATTATGTAACAAATAGCTGGTAACCAAACATGTGGATATATTGTTCTGTTTAAGTATTTATACACCATAATAGTCTGTAGCACCTAATCCATCACAAATAGCGTAATATTGTTATACGTTTGTTAAGAACACATGAATGAAGAAGCTTTCCTTATCATTTACTGTTTAAGTACAACCAGTCGTAGAATTGGTAAACAGTTTGCATATTTTTACATTCTATATTTTTACGCATTAATTTGAGACATTTTGATTACTCGCTAGAGGTATCTTGTGTGTGATTATTCACCAAGTAAATAGTGGTTGGCAGTTATACTATGGACTATGCAGTTACACTTCTATGTTAATAGAAATGCTAACACTAATTCAGATTGTTTTTAGATCTGAAGAATTCTTTCATGATTTTAGCAAATGAGAAGTGTCATTCACATGTAAACCGCAAGCATCTTTAGAATTTATCATGATATTTATGTGGTCTTGCTCATCTGCGTCGATTGAAATGTAGACCTTGTTCCACGTTTCAATCACGTAGAATCAGTAGGACTGAGACTTCATATGTGTCTCAGCTAAAACCTATCAGACAGACACATTGATCTTGATATAATTACTCCTCCATTCGTCTAAGAATAATTGGGGCTAGTGGTAATTAAATGTGCCTGCCGACGTGCTCACTCAGAATATTTAAATGTGATGAATCGAACTCCATCCAGATTTACAAGACATTCACACGGTTACTTGATCCTGTGCGGATACTCAGGCCAACAGTTAGTTATAGAGCAACCTTGCGGTGACAGTTTTCATAGGCAAGGAATGCAGCTAACGGTAGGATCCAGGACTCGTGTTTCACCAGTTGGATTTTATACTTGATGTTTACGTCGGGAATCATCTCTTCTCTAAAACTTGTGAAATAACGGCCATATCGAAGCAATTCCTACAGGTTGCACATATGCACATATACCAAAATGCCGTCAAGAATATCAGCAACGAAATAACTCGAAGATACAAATTAAAGTAGAACGACTTCCATATATGGAGGAAAAATCAATTGTCAGCCTAGTTTAAACAGAATTGGAAAGGTTTCTACCAGAGGTCTGAATCAACGAAAGAAAATAAGTAAACTAAGAAGTGAAGTGCAATCTAACGAGGTTTTTTATTAGTAGCCACGTATGCTTTCTACATGCATTTCTGGGTAGATTGTACTAGTTACTATTCCGTAGTAGTTCAACGTGTACTCAATGATTCACCAGTTAAATCACTCACTGTCCAATCAATCGGGTTTTAGTTTCAAATTGCACTCTACTGATATCAGTTTGGTCACCCGATTAGTTGTATTTCTAGTTCTAAAAGGTAAAGGGTGACTTTAAATTAAGTACTTGATAAATGAGTTAGATTATATTGGAAAAAACCCAGAAGTACCAAAAATTGGTTCATTTCTTAATGTGTATTTGATTAGTAATGAGCTTATGCAGTTATAACAGACCGGGGCTGATACATATGCACATCAGCCCAGGTTACTACATCTCGTATTAAGACAGCAAGAAAGGGTTAGCAAGATAAATACTCAAACTAGTAATATCAGCTCGAGTCATAAAGATTAGACACAGAAATTGTTTACTTGGTTCTTCGCATCGATGTTTAGGACTGTAATTGATCAGTCTCTCTTACTGACATATATGCATCCTGTGCGAACTGCCTCAATTCACACAAGCATTATAAGCAATGTTGGATAGCGGCTAGCAATGGAATCCAGTGGTTATCAGGACTTTGTAGCTAAATGTATAACGCTATGGCGTTTGAAGCGAATGGCACTGAGTTCGAGTCCCAGAGTGAACATCAACTCAGAGATACAGGTAGATCCATCTGAAGAGTCCTGAATGGGATGAAACGCACGTCCTGAATCCCACTGCTAACCACTATCTATCTTAGTCATGGATTCAGTTTGACAGTCAATAACTTTATGAACTGATATCGTGACGTCCCTAATCTTCATCCATCCTATTCCGATGGCCAATATATCGTATCGACTTAAATGGAATTTAAAAAAACAAGCCAAGTCATGCTGGGGTTCTAGTTTTAAGAAGAAAATAACAAGTAACTTCATCTCCGCGAATGTGATTCAACATATTCCAGAAACCGATCATTAATAATTATCATGACACAATACCTAAGTGTATAACGCGATGGCATTTGAAACGAACGGTAACGGGTTCGAGTCCCAAAGTACACGTCAACTCTGAGATTCAGGTACATCCAGCTGACAAGTTCTAGATATGACGAAAACGCACGTCCTGGATTCCACTGCTAGCCAATATCCATCTTTGCATATTAACAAAATTGGTTGAACTCTATTCATGAAAATACAAAAAATAAATTTACCTGAATACCAAAATTTTATTTGTACATTGAATCAATTTTGTTTGAAATCAAAATTAGAACAAAAAGACATTTGTCGGACAAAGTTTTGAACTGATATTCATGTTTGTCTTTGATGCTGATGATAATGATAAAATAGTTTAAGTTTATATTTTGTTAACCAACGATCGAATACAGGGAATCGTTGCATAATAGCACAAAAAAGATTTGCCGGTATTAACTGATGCCTACTGATAAGTTCTTCAATGGATATACGAACCTAATTTGAGAAGAAAAGATGAGAAGAATGGAAAAAGATAAATTTACAAATTTGTCTCCACTATCGAGGATAAAATCTCGGATGAAGCCCTGAAGTCAGATATAAAAGTAATTGCAAGCATGCTGTACGTTCTATTCAAGATTTCGAAGGGGGGGGGAACAAGTGCCGACAGACTGAAAAGGAGGATATCTCATCCAGATACTGAAGAAAGGAGACATGAGCAAATGTACGAACTACAGAGGAATCATACTACTGTCAGTACCAGGAAAAGTTTTCAATAGTGTTGCGGAACAGAATGAAGGATTCAGTGGACGTCCAGCTTCGAGATACACATACCGGAATCCGTGAGGATCGGTCGTGCACATATCAAATCGTGGCACTACGGATCATTGTTGAACGACCAATTGAATGGAACTCGACACTATACATCAACTTATTTGGATATAAGAAAGCATTTGACATAGTGGATAGGAGAACATTGTGGAACCTTCTTCCACATCATTGTTCGCCTACGATTGTCAACATCATACGGAATTCGTACGACAGACTACATTGCAAAATCGTGCATGGAGGATAGCCCAAAGATGTGTTCCAAGTGACTACCGGTGTCGGTCAAGGTTGTTTACTCTCCCTTTCTCTTATGAACACCTTGACATCTCAGGGAAAGCACGGAATACAATGGACAGCTTGGATGCAACTAGACGGTTTGGGCTTTACAAGTGACCTGCCTCTTCTATCCCATGGACGTCAGCGATTGCAGGTGAAAATTGCCAGTATAACAGCAGCCTATGCATCAGCAGCCCTCAAAATACACAAGGGGAAAAGCAACATCCTGAAATAATGTTAGGTCCCGAGAAACATAATGAATGGTAACTTTGGGATTCTTTTATGGACCGATCGACAATTCACTGCATCTGATTGGCCGCATCGGACTATAACAATTGGCGACGGTGTAAACAAACGATCCAAAGTTAGTCTGTAATTGGACGAAATTCAGTCCAATTATTTCGAGCAATCAGCATCCAGACTTGTCATCAGTGTTCTTGAACGACATTGGTTATTATTCATACAGTAATTTTGATTGCCAGTGCTGATTCAAAAAAAGACTCTCCTTTCCGATCGATTACAGCTGCTATTTGAGCGACAGTTGGAGTTCTTACTCAAATTACGCACGCAGCTGCTGAATCACTCATGCTTTGGAGATGCGACGGAAGTGGATGGATTAAGTTCTCGATTGCACACTGAGCTGGGAAATGATTGCAGCCTCCATGAATCATCGACAAACCATATTCCAAACGATACATCAGTCACTCAAGATCCGCCCAGTGGTCCAGTACTCTCCGTTTCAGAAACATGCCCGGTAATTGATTCGAACCCCATTATCTCCGAAACAGCATGTGCAGACAGTGACTTACCCAGCTCACATACAGACGCCCTGTCAAATGTTCATAGAATTGTCACAGTAACCGCCCATGAAACAGAAAACAAATCGAGCAGTACACTGAATGCAGATGCTCCAAATGGATCTCATCATTCAGCGACAGAAGTTTCTGACGAGTCTAATTATCGAGATTCTTTTTTACCAGAAAATATGTCAGATGCATCAAATGATGATCAGAAACATAATACAAGTTTGATAGATGCTGATTAACTTGATGATCCATTATCTACAAATGAGGTTCCCAATAAATTCGGTCACAATATTTCAGAAGAATCAAACTTCTATTACCTCATATCAAGCGTCGTTCAGCCTCACCACTTAGTCACTTTCAGTCGACTCTCTGTTCAATGAGACAAATATGGTGGTCTAGCTTCAACTGACTCATGATTTCAATCTGTGAAATATGTTTTAAATAAATTTAAAGTGATTGTAACTTGGGAATATGAGGATCCAACACTGTTTCGTGGGGGGAGGATGAACCCGGAAAATTTAAAATCCGAATATCAACACAGGATCTTCAAAAAAGGGGAGGTGTGTTAGGTCGCGATAAGCATAATGAATGGTAACTTTGGGATCCATTTATGGACCAATATTATACATATATTTTATCGTATAGTTGTTAAATAACTAAACTATCCATATTCATGTTCCTCTTATTATAAGCTTTATTTTGACCTATGAACCAGTATTATGCCCTGTCTATTAGTCACTGCTTCTCACATTCACAGCCGCATTTGGCCAAATCTTGTAAAAATGTTATTTTGTATTTTATGCTACGTTGTGGTCTGTTTGATTGGTATATAAACTCAGTATGTCTGAAATATAAGAATTCATACTGCAGAGGCTGAGACTGGTGTTCTGGACTTAACTGGCTGGGCTAGGCGGAAAGCAGGACCAATCAGGACTCTAGGCTGCTCGCACGTGTTTTACGCATCCTTGGTCCGATCGATAATTCACTGCTTCTGATTGGCGGCTTTGGGCTATAACAAGTACAACACGGAGTACACCAGCCCAATCACACTTGGTGGAGAAACTCTGGAAGAGGTGAAAAGTTTCACGTACCTGGACAGCATCATCGATGAACAAGGAGGATCTCATACAAATGTAAAGACAAGAACTGGAAGAGTAATGGCCGCATTCCTACAATTCAAGAACTCAAAGCAACTGTCAACCAATATTAAAGTCGAAATCTTCAATACGAAAGTCAAGTCAGTTAGTTCTGCTGTATGGAGCTGGAACTTGGAGAACTACTACAACCATCATCTAAAAAGTACAAGTATTTTTAAACAATTGTCTACGCAGGACACGCCAGACCCGTTGGCCGGATACCATCGGCAACAGCCTATTGTGAGAGAGAACAAACCACCTCCCAGTTGAAGAGGAAATTAGGCAAGGACGTTGGAAGTGGATAAGACATAAATTGATGAAATCATCAGACTGCATCACGTGGCAAGCACCAGCTTAGAATCCTGAAGGGAAAAGGAAAAGAGGAAGACCAAAGAACACATTGTGTCTGGAATTAGGATCAGATATCGAGAGAATGAATAGAAACTGGAAAGGATTGTTCAGGACAAAGTTGGATAGAGAATCCTGGTGAGCGGCCTACGCTTCTCCACGAGGGGTAAAAGACACATGTAAGTAAGCAAGTAATCTAGATAGAACATCGCTAAAAAAATAGATGTCACCAGCCCCAAGAAGTTATCTTTTGGGATATGTGTGACCACACTCTCAAATCGTCAAGATAACGGTTTACACTGATTTCTTTTTTAAGTCCCACACGAAGTATTATCTTCTCATGGTATTGGACAACCGCCCTCATATCTTTAACATCAGTGAAACTAGCCTACATACATAGCTTATTGTCAGTGTATACTTTTCAATCTTTGATTACGACCGTTCCTTTTATACCATAATTGCTGTGAGAAAATAGTGGGCAAAGAAAGCAAAAGGTAGTGGCAATAGGCAATAATAGACGACTTATCAGGTTTATCAAAGAAACGGATATTGTAAATTCACGTGTTAGTGAGATTATTTCGATAAAGGATGAGACAGTGACCCACTCTCAAGTCAGGAGGATTAGAACGATGGGCGGAACGCTTTGAAGAACAGCTTGACTGGTCATATGCAACCCTCCAGTTCCCTGCTATTAGCATCAACCTAAACAGGATATAAACATAAGCGCCCCAATTCTTAAGGAAATTAGAAATCCAAAGCTAATCTAAGGAGATGGAGAGCAGCAGGCTTTGATGTACTAACCCCAGAGATCTTCAAGGATGGCGGTTCAGTTCTATCAGTTATACTGACAGAGATACAACCTGGGAAGTGGGCAAAATCCCAACCAACTGATCTTCAGTGCTGACCATCCTAGTTTATAAGAAAATATACATTCTCAAAATACTAACACTCCCCCTAAATGTAAATTGTTGCCTCAAAACTGATTACAGGGAATGGAGTAGTCAAGCACGTCGACCACTTCACTTATCTTGGAAATCCAACCAACTGTTGTGGGTAAGTGTTTGACGAGATCTTGACACGGATTCAGATAGCTCGATTAGCTTTTACCAACTTACGTCACCTGTAGTGTAGGTGAGATATCCACCTACGAACCAAAGGAATGGTGCACTACCCAGCAGTTGCTTTGTTTTAAATTATAGCAGTAACATGTCCATTAGAAATAGATTTCCGTAGCTTACTAGTATTCGATCACAGGTGCCTTCGAAGCTCTGCGTGCGCTTGTTGGAACCGTCAAGTGAGTAGGTCACTTCTCCCAGGTGAGTGATCATAAGGTTAGACGAATGGTACCAAGGTAATGACATTAAATCGCTTGGTCGAGTAGTGAGTATTGATTGATTGAGATGGTTAGAACATGTATCACATATGCTCAACTACTGCTTATCTTAACTCACAATGATGGATAGGTTGGAAAGAAGCTTCAGGCTGCCAAATCAAGACTCAAGATCAATCTATGAAGTAACTAATGTTTAGAGATATTTGGTAATATGTCACAAATTTAACTGAAACCTTATCTTTCTTTCAATCATGAATTTCACAAGTATCTTATGCATTTTATGATCCGACTAATTCTTTTTTTTTCGAGTCATAACTTCTATGGTTACTCTTTTATACAACCCTAGGATCACTCTATGATGATATGACGTAACAACTTGAACCTTTGAACGAATGTACCAGGTTTTTCATTGTGTATAATTGATAAGATTTCCCATGGATATTATCGACATTCGAATATACAACCATCATGTATCTGTAAGCTGATCAAGATTTATTGTATCGTTTCGTTTTATAACAAAATTTGAAGTTAGGTTTATGTATTAGAAATAACGAATACTTACTCGACTAGCTAATTCATCAGATGTTTCATTTGGCAATGGATAAATCGGATCACCAATATAGGTTCTAGAAATTAAAACAACAATATTGTACTATGTGAGAAGTGCAAATAATCATACAAAAATTTTTGATTGAGATCATTAACTGATTGATGTTAGACCACCATTAAGAACCTGGAAGCACTGGATGGCCGTTTCGTCTTATTGTGAGACTCCTCAGCAGTGCGCATACACGATCCCGATTACAACCCAGGGTCTTCAGTCTCACGCGTGGACGCTTAATCTCTAAACCTCTGAGCCGGCATCCAATGGTGTTAATGTCTAGCTTCAACCAATTCACGAAATTGAGCGACTGTCCTCCACTGTACTGAGGTAGATACCTGTCTCTACCTGACACGGATTAGCTCTACTGGTCACGGTTTCTCACTAGAACTCAGAGAATTCCCTCACGAATCTAGTGACTAGTGAGCACTTGGTAATTATCATATAAAAGTTAGAAACTTGACCGAATATGGAAATGTATGAAGCATAAAACCAGAATAAATCAATTAGATGATTTGTAGATAGAACTTGTCACAGAATGAAATCAGTTAAGAATATTATTGAATACGAAGGGAGCAACGAATAGTTGTTCGATTTTATTATGGGAATTTTAAACCCAATATCCATGACACATTTATTTTATTTTAATACATAGATATTGGTACAAAGAGGCACCAAATACATATGCGCCACACAAATCTCATTCGATATGTGTGAGGGCTGTGATACTGCCAGGGTGCCCAAACCGGAGCAGGTGGTTTTCTTAGGGGGCCACACCCGGAGCCTTCGACCTGAAAGTCTGATCCACAAGGCAGTGGGGCATCGTAAGGAGATGCAGTCCCATGGTAGCCGGTGACCAACGATTGGTTCATACGCCATTTGTTCCTTCAGGATACTGGAGCCCATATGCACCATTAGTTTGGAATCACGGTTTTTCAAATCCCCTAGATGGACTCACCGTGTCCACCGACCCGGTTAAAGTGCCGGACATTCGCTTTTCATCCTCTCATTTTCGTAAACAACACCCCCACGACGAGAATGCAGTGAGTAGGACGTTCCTGGCAGAGGCTATATACGCGTGGCCATGTGAGAGCATTTGAGAGGGAGAGCTGACACTCCCCATTCTCGGTCGTACCAGAGCATTTGAGGGCAGACATGACACAATCACGGATTCAATCTGAGATCTTTAAGTCATGCAGTAAACCATATCTGTTTTCACCTATGAACAACGCAAGATTCAGTAAATAAATCAACATCGACTCCCAGGATGTCAGAACCTACACATATCGACACAACAAGAGGGAGTTGCCAGCGGATCTCAATCATGAAATTCCATCAACCAATGACTTGATAGCCAGGATATATGGGGTTGAATGTCTGTTGAAATCTGTAAAATAGATCCCAGGGATTTCAGCCGATTAGGACTCACGGTCACTTCTGTTCCGAATATTGTCGACATTATTCACTTTGTAATTTCATTATAGTCAGGACTAAAGTTTAAAAGGTATGCTATGGTCATTCATTTCAATCTTTATCCTTGTATTTAGATGCTTTTTTTCTAATCGTTTCCCAAACCTCCTCCGTTACCCGGACTTGGGACCGAAAGTAACTTTAGGAGAGATACAAGCCGGACACCATCAGCAACAGTATACTGTGGGAGAGGCCAAACCAGCTCCCAGCTGAAAAGGAAATTAGGAAAAGACGATGAAAATGGATAGGACATACATTGATGAAATCACTGAACTGCATCACAAGGCAAGCCCTAACTTGGGATCCTGAAGGGAAGCGGAAAAGTGTAAGGCCGAAGAACACATTACGTCGGGAAATAGAAGCAGATATGAAAAGGATGAATAACAACTGGAGAAGATTGGGTAAGACAGGGTTGGATAGAGAGTGCTGGTTGGAGGCCTATGCTCTTCCGCGAGGAGTAACAGGCGTAAGTAAGTTTCTAGTCGTTAATTGTACATTTTCACAAAACATTGTACTTTTACACACTATGGAACAAAAATTATGATGTTCATCGGTAAGTCGTAACTGAAAAGAGAAATCCTTGTCTATTTTTTTAATTAATAAAATCATTCTAAAACCTTATTCTTCAAGTTTTCATCCTTACTGACTGTTCATGGCTTTGCATACTAAAACGTCGGGAATCAACACAAGGAATTAATTACTGATGATGAGCATCTAATTATTACATACAAATCAACTTACCTAAGTTTAACAGGGAAATAACCATAAAATATGGCTAACGGTAATCGTGTCCTTTCATATAAGCTACGCCACCAACCTATATGGATAAAATTAATCATTTTACCAAGAATAATTTTTTATGTTACCTTTGCCAAATTGTACAATTCTTATGGTTTCACGAATATTTTCTGTAAACATTGGATAAATAGGCTGAAAATAAAGAGAAGAAAAACAATAGAAGGGAGAAATAAACATTATAGTCCCCCACAATGCTTCCAGGTTTTCTATGATTGTCTTAGCTTCAATTGACTCATGATCTCAGTTATTGAAATTACTACAATCTCAAAACAACCCTTTCTGATACATTATAGTTGCTTACGATAAATGTAAATCTGTAAAATACATACGAAGGCGATCAAACCAAAACGTGGAATCAGTGCTTGAAGTCACTAAATTCTGGTCTGAGCCATGTTCGTAGATGCAGACTACTTGGTTTGGGTCCGCGTGACGATCGTAACCAATGGTTGGAGACTCTGGGTGACATGACTCAGAATCGATCAGAATGTCCTAGGTGTATACACTCTCTGTCTCCCCTTAAACTGAGAGATTAAAATCGATTAATATCTTTCTTCCTACCAACAAGTTCTTTCTTCCTGTAATATATCCTTATACACAATCTTTCTTTTATATATTACACCACTGAAATGACTACTTCTATGAATCTGGTGTTCATCTTGTTGTGGTAATGAGGTATGGCAACTTGAACCGATGCATATATGTGCCTGGTCCTACGTTTTAGCTGACTAACTGATTGACAATATATACAAACAGTATGTATAGAAAGACAACACATACTTGGAGGTTACAATTCCAGTGTTTCATATTTCTCAATAATAATATGTATGTAATAGTTATCCAAAAAAGTTGGATAATAAAGATTTATGGCTCCATCAATCAGCTCATTATTTCCACTTGTAACCAGTATATATATCTTTAAAGAGGAAAACTTTACAGGAAAATGATGAGATAGGTTGAGTGATTTCAGATAGCTCAGATTCTGTATTGACGTCTTGTTGTAAAGAAGGTATTAAGTAAAAGAAGTTACAAAGTATATACATAATACATGTACATAGCCTTTATTCATTCGTTCGCATTTTATAGCCCTCAAATGCCCTGATACGGATGAGCGTGGGAAGAGTCCGCTCTCCCTCTCCAAATGCTCTCACATAACGACGTGTATACAGTTACTGACAGAGAAGTCCTAATCCCTGCCTTCTCACGACCGGAGTGCTATTTACGAAATTGAGAGGACGAAAAGCGAATGTACGGCGCTTTAACCAGGTTGGTCGACACGGAGAGTCCACCTAGAGGAGTTTGGAAACTCTCGCTGCAAACTAACGGTACACATGGGCTCCAGGATCATGAGAGAACAAATGATGTATGAACTTATTGTTGGTCACCGGCTACTATAGGTCTGCATCTCCTGACGTTGCTCCACTGTCTTATGGGTCAGACCATTGGGGAAAAGGATCCAGGTGTGGCCCCCCAAAGAAAAACACCTGTTTCGGTTTGGGCACCAGGGCAGTATCACAACGTACACACAAATCAAGTGACTTGTGTGGCGCATATGTACTCGGTGCCCGTTTGTACCAATACTTATGTGTTCAAATAAATAAATGAAGCCAGATGTGTGGTCTGATGATATTGGCGAAAATAAACGTATCAATATGGGACATAAATAAATTAGTAACAATCGAATATACTAAAAATCTCATGGCTACTCCATTAGTTTGTTTATATAAAGTCCCTTTGAAAGTGAAGTGTTGGATTCAAGCATAACTTGAGAGATTTCATGATTGAACTAATACTTAATGGACGTCTTCTAGATTGTATATTCGAATTCTCTCATCAATCATTAATAAATTCTAGATATCTATCAATCGGAATACTGATGTATAGAGATACAGTTCCCACAAACTAATACACATACAGACACCAAATTTCAACTCTACTCCTTTATATTACAAATTGTACACTTTTTACGCCCACCATTATACACACGAACACACAGTGTTGTTTCATAATGAATCACAAGGGATTCACATGACACTGATATAATGAGACGTATTTCGATCGAACTGAATATTCCACCTTGTCCCTTTATACTATCTAAACGTGTTAATTTAATTCATTTACTTTAAAGTGACTAAAACTGTGCTACGAAACTCATTGAAATCATGAACCAATCTGAGTTAGACCACTGTTGAAAATCTGGAGATAATGGAAAGTCATTTTATCTCAGTACAGAACTCCTCAGCAATGCCGACCCACGACTCCTGACGTTGGAACCGAATGCAGGATCTTTGGTTTCACACACGAATGCTTAACATCAAAACCATTGAGCCAGCATCCAACGGTGTTAATAACGAAGTCCACTCGATCCACGATATTGATCGACCACCTTCCATCTTTGTTGAATAACTGCCTCATACTCAACATAGTTTAGCTACACAGGTCACGACTTCTCACTAGATCTCCGGAAATTTTCTGTCGAAGCTAATCACTAGTGAGCACGTGATAATATCAGTATGGGGTTGTGATTTAACTTGAGGCAACCCACGATATTGCTCTATCATCTTTTAATGTCTTCAGTGAATTAGACTCGTACACTACTGGAGCCCAACTCAGTGGTCTAAAGGTTAAGCATTTGAGCGCAAGACCAAAAGGTTCTGGGTTCGGTTCTCATGTCCAGAGTTGTCGGTGTGCGCTGCCAAGAAGTTCCATACTAGTACAAAATGGTTCTTCAGTACTTCCGGGTTTTCAATGGTAGTCTAACATTGATAGGTTCATGATTTCAACGAAATTTAACAATCTCCACAACCCCATATTGATCAGTTACGAAATGCCAGGAATTTAAATTCCCACTCATTGGGATAACACAGATAAATCATAACAATCAAAACCCACCATTACACATTCCATTGTTCCACTATATACAAACGATCAATCATACTTATCATGAAACTAGGGATATATTTGCATCATTTCAAGTTGTTATATCACATCAATACAGAGAGATGACAAAATAGTATAAGTAGTAACAATATCAGCAGTAGTGCGGAGAGGTGGCGTCGAGTGGAGTGTTCTGGTGGGGAGGCATCGGCTGTAGCGGGTGCTGTCGACAGAGAGGAGTGATGAGACATGCGGCTGCTAGGAGGATATCGGATGTAGATGGCTCAGCAGGCCGATGGAGCACGGGTTTTACACATCCTAGGTGCCGGGTGGATGTAGGATGTTATTTCCTCGGCAGGTCGACGGAGCCATGGAGGTCAGCGCGCCGCAGACTCGATATTTTGACGGAGAGTGTAGCACAGACTGCAGAAACGAAGAATGTGGCACGGTGAGCATGAACCATCACAAGAACGACTGTTTTAAAGGGGGGACGAGTGTGATGCGTGCTACTTATATTGATATAAGTAGTATATGACGCGAGTCAGGAATGTAATGTCTGGCATCAGAAGATGGGGAAGATCAAGAAAGGAAGAGCGGGAATAGAAAGCAATTAGTATGGAAATGCAAGAACAACGTAGTTTGAGATAATTATTGAACATTTTGTAAATTAGGTACTATAGTATGGTTTTTCTATTTTACCAAGTAACTCTGCAATTTTGTGCTAAATATAATTTGATTGTCCCCACCCGTGTTCTGTTCATTACAGTAGTAGTAGTAGCAGTAGTAGAAAGCATTAGACATGTAAAAATGTGATTGAAGTAAATATAAATTTGTGAAATAAAAAAAAGACTAGAAGAGATGAAAAGAAAGTTCAGTCGCGCCACTTCGAATAACTCCAAATCATGTTATAGTGAACAAGAACATAAGTGGAAACAATCGAATGTATTTAAATATAAAATTACAGAACGTCTTAATCAGTGGTAAAATATCAATCAATCGTCTCAGAATTCATTGTTCCCTCCTTTCCACACCAATTATTCTTTGTTCTCGTTCTCTTTTCTTCTATCTTCGTAACCTTCTGTTACCAGACATTCCACTTTCAATTAATGATAGACATACTAGTTATATCTGTTTATATCAGTAGCACACACTATAATGTCATCTAAAGTCTCTAATCATTGGTTACGACAATCAAGCAAGCAGTTTGTACATATTTACATCGTTCAGTTCAACACTAAATAACTTCATGGATTTTATGATGTCAAGTTTTGGTTTGATTGTGTTAGTTCACAATCAAATGGCTAATCACATTTTACTGTCACCAACCACATATCAAATTTTATTTGGAAGAGTTTACTTACATTGATATACAAATATATTCGTCACATAAATTATTCGATTTGTAGGAGAGCTGGAGTACTGCTCGGGTGTTCAAACCGGAACAGTTGATTTTCTTAGAGAGCCACAAGGCAGTGAAGCAACGTCAGGAGATGCAGTCCCATGGTAGCCAACAATAGGTTCATTTGCCATTTGTTCCCTCAGGATTCTGTAGTCCATGTGCACCATTGTTTTAGAATCAGAGTTTCCCAACTCTCTTGGGTGAATCCTCCATATGCACCAACCCGGTTAAAGCGTCGGACATTGGCTTTTCGTCCTCTCAATTCCACAAACAACACCGCCGCAGCGAGAAGGTAGTGAGTAGGACTTCCCTTGCAGAGGCTGTATACACGTGGTCATGTGAGAGCATTTCGAGAGGGAGAGTTGACTCTCCCCACCCTCGGCCGCACCAGGGCATTTAAGGGTGGATTTTCATTCATAGTCATTAATTTTTAGTAAAAGTTAAGTTCTAGCTAGAAATGGAATCCAGGACTTGTACTCTATCCTATTCGAAACTTACCACTGAATAACACGTTGATGTTCGCAGTAACAGTTACTGGGCTCAAACATGATCTCAAGAATGAAGGTACATTCAACTGATAAGTCTCAAACAGGATGAAATAAGCATCTTGGATTCCACTGCAGACTATGATCTAACTTTACTAAATACATATAGTTTGTTTAATTTTATGCATTTACAGGAGTCACTTTTAATCTACAATATATAGTTAATACCTTCTATTCAATTAACACGTAATTATTGCTTAAATCATTAAAGAATTCCTCATAAATTAACTTACTTGTCCAGATAATAAAGAAATACGTGCAAAACCTCGACGATTCTCCCACATAACTGTATAAAATTCATCAGAGAATAAAGCTTCTCTAACACCACCGGGAGAGATTAATAATACATCACCTTGTGAAACTTTACCATCTAATGATAAGGTTAGAAAAAAAACACATATATAACAACATATGGGGTTTTGTGGATATTATATAGTAATTTTAATAGTTGGGATCATAAGTTTCACGGTAGGATCAAAACGGCCATCCAGTGCTCCCAGGTTTTCCATAGTGGTCTAGTTTCAATTAACTCATGATTTCAACTATTAAAATTACATATATAATAGAAAAAAATAAACATTGAACCTTGAGATGACGAACAGATTAATGTTAGGCCACCCTTGAGAACGTAGAAGCACTAGACGGCCGTTTTGTCCTATTATATGACTACTCAACAGTGCGCGTCCATGATCCTCTGAGCGGGATCTAACATCAGTCAGTTCATGATCTCAATCAAAAACTTAATAACCTCCACAACCCTATAGTGATCCTTACATTCACTTATGTCGATTGTTTCCACACTATATCTTACCTCAATGTCAACTTCCAATACATATCAATGGTTGTAAGCAGCTAATGATGATAAAGCACAAAATATAATGAATTCATATTATTCTACATCCATGTTCGCTCTGGCTTTATTTAAATTCATAAAAGGAACTAATTTTCATATGAGGAGGAAAACAGCTTTTGGATACGACCTTTTTCGAAACAGTTGTCCTGCTAAAATTAATCTATGATGCAGACTACAAATAATTACGTTGATTGTTTACTTAATAATGAACAACTTCATGTTTATAAGCAAAGATGAATAGTGGCTAGCAGTGGAATCCAGGACGCGCGTTTCGTCCTATTCGAGACTCGTCATCTGGGTGTGCCTGCATCTCCGAGTCGGTGTTCACTCTGGGACTCGAACCCAGTACCGTTCACTTCAAACACCATAGCGTTATCTAATTAGCTACCGAGTCCTGATAGCCACTTGCTTGTGCAATAGGGTGAAATCTAAATTCACTTGATATTGTTTACTTGAATCCCAGAGTGGACATCAAATCTGAGATGCAGGTTCATTCAGCTGATGAGTTCCAAATAGAACGAAACGCGCATCTTGATTCCACTGATAGCCACTATCCATCTTTGCTTATAATACTTGTGAATTAAGGTTATATCGAGGCAAGACGCAATATGCACACATGCCAATAAGAGACTGATCAATCGCAGTCCTAAACATCAATGAGAAGATTCGAACAAACAATACCAAGTGAATTTCACGTTTGTCTAGTCCTTTTTAGTTGTAGTGTACTGGTTAATAGTTCAAATTACTTAACATTGTATTCACTAAGCAGAGGAATTAGGTAGTCGAAATTAATCAGTAGGATACCGTGGATCTAGGTTTCGAGCTAGTGAGTAGTTCTTAGTAGAGCTTGTCTGTAACCTCCAGCAAACTGTCCCATGATAGGTTCAGTTTCATAATCTGGGACGGTATCATTTTAATCACTCGGGCTAACCAGTCTAAATTATCACAAAACCTAGGTCTAACAGAGTTCCCTATCGAACACCTCCAACTCCTTAGCAAAAAAGTAATTAGTTCAGTTTTTTGAAGGCAAATTGAATATTATTACTAATGGGGATGTCATTAGTAAACGATCTTAACAGTAGAGAGTTACTCAATCAGATACGGATGGTGGCTAGTAAGGGAATCCAAGATGTGCACTTAGTCCTGCTTGGCACTCGTTAGCTGGATGTACCTGCATCCCAGAGCTGATGTTCACTTTGTGACTCAAACCAAACATCTTTCGATCCAAACAACCAATATTTATGGATTGAAATTTGGAGGTTACATTACAATTACTCAACAGAACGCGTTTACGATTTTCCACACAATTGAACTCAGGACTTCCCTGTTACTTAGTTATATAAAAATATCACATACTTTACTCATCAGAACATTTTACAAATCAGACTATATGATGTGTTACTGTGAGAAATCGTGAGTGTAAAGTACTCTCATTGACAAGACAAACTGGTGAAAGGTCGTGATTCAGACACTTATCCTTTTTATCAACAAACCTTTATAATAGTCAGTATAATATGAGTAAAAGTAGACGGTAATTGTGTATGCGTAACACACATCCATTCCGATCACTTGAGTTGAGGAATATTTATAACCGATTCACCATTTCTATCTATTGTCAATTAGTGTCTATCAATGTAAGCCTATCACAAATCTATGCTAGATCAAGTAACGTTAAAAGACCATATAAGCACGATGATATTAAATTAATGCAATGAATAGCGAAGGAGTCAAAATAATTTAGTAGCAATGATAAAGAGGAAGAATAAACAATGATAGTATGGCTTGAGAAGACAGAAGTAAAAGGTGTATATGGATAACTTCTGAGAATGACGATTCAGAAGATAAATAGTGAGTGTATCGGTATAAATACACCCAATTCTGAGCCCTATCACCCAACGTCTGTAACCACTGATCGCGGTTGTGGCACGGACCTAAATGAGATAGACTAGATCTACTAAAACGGCTAATTCTAACAATCAATAACCTAATGGACTGTTACCATGTCATTAACAAAATAGAATCTAGCACGGATGTATATTAGTTCAAATTGCCACACATCAGATCACCATACCCGAAGAGAAACTAATTTCAATTACAATGGAAGTCTAAACATGAGAGGTACAGTTGGAAAGAGAAATATAACTCATTATTTGGAAAAAGATGACGAATGAATGTAATAGAGTTACTGTGGTTGATTTTAAATCATACTACTACTCAATTTCTTCAATTATTTATTACGTCACAAGTCCAAACAGGAAGTTTGGACTTATTGAAACAGCTCAGTGGTTAGCTAACTGTATACACTGATAATATCTTGTCTCTATTGATTACTCTACACCTAACATCAATAGTAATACTCACTGGATGGTTTCACCATATTTAACCAATCCTGAAAAAGGTATATGTGATAAGATATAACAACCCATAAAACTATTCTTTGCCTTCTTCAAAGATCGTTTTCTATGGGCAACAAAATAATATGAACGATCAAAATGAGAATATGAAAATATCATCAAGTCAATATGTCCAAGTTAATAGACTAGTAACTGCTTAAAGAGTGCAAACAGACATCTGAATGGAGCGGTGGTTCAGTGATTAAAATGTCTGACTTTCGACTACTAAGTCAATGGTTCGAACATTACATTACCTATTTTGATTTGAGCAATCGGATAGCGTTAGTAGCTTTCTTGCTCTGTATGACTCAAAGCCAAGTACACAAATATTTACAGAATGAATTGAGTTACTCCGATTTTTCACCCTTTTTACTTTGTGTTAACAAACTCGTTTTTGGTTCAGATCTAATCATCGATCGACCAGTTGGATTACTGAGTGTAAGTCAACTTCAACGAAGGACCAAACACATATATGCATCGGTTCAAGTTGCCATACCTCATTACCACAACAAGATGAACACCAAATTCATAGAAGTAGTTATTTCAATGGTGATAATATATAAAAGAAAGATTGTATATAAGGATATAGTACAGGAAAAAAAATTAGTTGGTGGAACGAAAGATATGAATCGAATTTAATCTCATAGTTTAAGGGAAGACAGAGAGTGTATACACCTAGGACATTGTGGTCGATTCTGAGTCATGTCACCCAGAGTCTCCAACCATTGGTTACGATAGTCACATCCCAACTAAGTGTAATCGTATCACATAATTAAATTAACGAAAACATTATAGCGTAACTTACTTTTGAGAATATGACCTGGTTGCAGATGAGCGACACATTCATCAACAGAACCTTTAATTGCACCGACTGTTTCTAATAAACGTCCAAGTCCAGGTACACGAAATAAAAATCTGTCTACAACAGGAACAGGAAATCTGTAGAAATTCATAAATATACATAAACACATGAAATAAGTTTTTAAAAACAAAAAAGGTTTAACAAGTTACGACATTATACACCTAGTTGATGAATTATATGTATATAAAATTGTGAAATTTAGTCACACAGCTAACTTAAGCCTTGAAGGCATTTTTGACTCTTTCTTCCCGTTGTGAGGAGGTAGTTCCACTGCAGATGTTAGGTGTCTGACGGAAACAACTTACTACTGTCACAGCCCTCTACAATCAGCAGTACAACTTCCCTCTCGGACCTTAAGTCGCTTCATTTAATTTTACCAACCTGCCCGATATGGTAAGATTTATTTATTTATTTATTTATTTAATATATAAACATTGGTACAATGAGGCATCAAACACATAAGCGCCGCACAAACCAAATGATTTTTGAGAGGGCCGTGATACCGCCCGGACGCCCAAACCGAAGTAGGAAGTATGATTAGACCTGAGGGAACAAGTGTTCCAGGCAAAATGGATAAACTAAATACTCTTTATCAGGGAAACGAACAGCATCAAACATACAAACTACTTATAGAAGTATTGGATACCATTCAAAATCAATCATACACCAGTTGTAAAACAACAATAAACTTCTACAACACTATCAAACGTTATTTAACTCTAAAACTTCCACCTTCATGAAGAATCGAAGTCAAACAAACCGAAGAACCGAATCTCTCCTAACTACGGTTGAATTAGAACATTCTATATGTCGAATGAAAAACCATAAGGCCCCCGGCCACAATAGTATAACATCAGAAATGATTAAATTTGGAGGACTGAAATTAAAAACAATCCTACTGTAAATAATGGATAACATAGGGAAAAACCCCAACGAAATCCCAATTCATTGGTTAGACACAAATGTCATCAGAATATACAAAAACAAAGGATCATGCAATAACTCCAACAACTATCGAAGTATATTCCTACTCGATACGATAGGAAAAGTATATGCTGGAATGATCGGCGAGAGACTAAAAGCTTTAACGGAACAAAACCTCCCTCCAAATCAATTCAGAGTTCTAAAACGTTTTTCGATTACACATGCAATCACAGCAATCAGACATAATACAAGGTGAATTATATACCAACCAAGAACTAATACTGACTTCCATTGACCTCACCAAAGCTTTCAACTTATTACCAAAGAAAATGATTCTAGATACATTACAAAACTATGTCCCTCAAACAATATCAACCGAAACATCACCCAGCTGTTAGGTGAACATAATGGTTGCAAAAAAGGTACACAACTACACTTCACTATGTACAGAAGCGTACAAAAGGGAATTAAGGAGTCCCGCCTCTCTTCCATATCGCCTTTCAAGAAATTCTAAATTCAACAACAGATAAGATACCAATTGGCCTTGACCTGGCCGACGAAAACAATACAACCTGAACATTATCGTACGTGGAATTTGCTGATGACCTATGTCAAATAACTACAGCCACTGAAGAAACGACCAAAACTCCCCACTTCCCTCTAAAATCACCTAACAAAGCTAGGAATAAAAATATCCTATGACAAAACCAAAGTCATGGTAATGAACTAACAAAGCAATTCACTTAAAATAGCCATCAACAACCATAAACTCGAAGAGGTAACTACATTCAACCATCTAGGATCAGTGCTAAGAAGCGATGGAACTCCTGATGAAGCAATCCAAACCAACATTGGTAAAGCTAAAACAACATTTATTGAAATAAGACCAATACTATGTTGCACAAATATTAGCAATCAGTCAGAAAGCTAAACGCTCAGACATAGTACTCATAGGGGGTGACTTTAATGCTCAGATAGGTAACTTAAACCAAACAGAAAGGCATTTAGGTGGATATTTTAGCATTCCGACACAGCGAACAGATAATGGTGATCGTCTGCTGCAACTGTGTTCAGACAATCGCTTATTTTTAGCAAACACAAATTTTAAGCATAAGGAAAGACATCGTCTAACATGGCGACCCCCTACACCAAACCAACGATGGACTCAAATAGACCATATTGCCATCAGTCATCGTTGGAGAGGGTCGGTAGAAGATTATCGCTCATTCTGGAGTACCTGCTTGGACTCCGACCACGCCCTAATACGGGCACGCATCTGCTTGCGCCTAACTGGACGCAAAAAAGCCACAGTAAAAAGACCCATTAGAACCGAACTGAGTAGCGTGGAAACCAAAAGTAGGTTCCAGGAACAACTGAGGTCACGATTAGGTAGTTCTGAAGACGAGACTGACCCAGATGTTGCTTGGAAAGATATACAAGCAGCTGTGGAAGCAGCGGTGACATCTATTAGCGACTTAAACCACAGAGTTTCAAAGAACCAGTGGATTTCTTCAAAGTCTATCACACTGATGGATTCTCGCAAACTCGTCCCACCAGGTTCCGAACATGATGAAGAGCGACAACAAATCAGATCTAGGTTAAGAAAAAGTCTAAGAAACGACCGTGAGCAGTGGTGGGCAATGAAAGCAAAATAGATGGAAAAGGCGGCGACTATAGGGAACACAAGACAGCTTTACAGACTAATAAAAGAAACTGGAATTAATAAGTCAAGTGTAAGTGAGATTATATCGGAAAAAGACGATACTCTCATCTGCTCCCAGTCCAGACGTTTAGAACGATAGGCGGAACATTTCAGAGAACAGTTCAACTGGCCTTCAGCTACTCTACAACTACCCTCCATTCCCAGACAGTGTGAATGGAACATTGAAGTAGGTCCCCCAACTCTTGCTGAAGTTCAAAAGGCTATAGTTAATCTGAAACGAGGAAGGGCAGCTGGTCCAGATGGACTGGCTTCAATAACCCCTACCTTAACCTATGGGTTACGGATACTCAGATGGAGAAAACCAACTTATTGTTTTATGCATAATTACAAAATGCCTTCAAAAAACATGAAAACTATACATTAAATACTTCATTGTTTCTTTATTCCTGTTGTGATTTTGATTGCTTTTAGTTTCCTTATTTCTTCGCTTCATTTTAATCTTCTCAACCTCCTATTTGCAGGTATTTCACTTCTAGTTGGTGTTATATACTACTAAAGTCTGCAAACATAAGTAGCATACACCACATTCGTAGTGACGAGACTAAAAGCAGTCTTCAATACTACTCATTGGATGATTTTGGTTATCAATGATAAAAGACCACTTACATCTAATGAACTACAAGAACGCATAGACCTCCTTAACCTAGCAATACTACAAAACAGACTGGAACTGGGGAGTGCAGCACATAAAAGATCAAATAGCCTAATGATGTGGTCTTTAAACAGCCAAACAAATAATAAGACACAACAGAAGACCAGCATATAGTAAAAGCCAGCTACGACAATTAACACATGACCTGGACCGATTTGATGAAAAACTCCCTCAAAAATGGTCAACAAAACTCATAAATCTACGTGACTATAATCTGAAAATAGTCGGCAAGCAAAACCTGATATAAAAATGCGGAGACAGTAACTGTAAGCGACTATTTGCCACAATAGGTATAACAGATATGACCAGCAACGAGAAAAAAAACAGACTTCATGCCTCAGGGGGAGTATAAATGTCCTCTAGGAGATTGTACAAAGACCTACAAAAATGAAGGATGGCTCAAAAGACACATCAACTCATGCCATTTCAAATCAAATCAACTAAACCAAAACCCTCAAGAAATTCGAGCACCTAGAAGAACCGGAAATACAATATCAAGAATAAACAATGACCTAGATGAATATTCATATCCTGGACGCAACAAAAAATTACCAACTTCAAAAAGAATTACCAATCATTGCTATGTGTAACATAGATGGTCTATCATCACTGGACAATAAGTAAAACCAGGGACACAAAAATCTGCAAAAACTAATGCGCCCCGGTAATATCGCCCTGCTTCCATGATTGCTTTTCTCAAGAAGAGCCTACTGGGTTCATCAACTATGTTTGACTTGGAGCGGCACGCTAGGGTATGGAAATACCAACATTATATCTAAATTTTACATATGAGGTCTGCCGATACTACTATTAGATTTTACAAACCGAAATAATTATTAGATTAGCATTCGAATAAATGTAAAGTGTCCTAACTATTACCGTTCTATAGTTAATCATTATTAACGTAGAGCCTGGCAAATATGTACATCAGATCAAGTTGTCATATTCCATAGGAACAATGAGATGAAATCGTCAGGGCGAATCTATAAGTGGTAGTCGTAGTTATAGAAAATATCAGGCATCGAAGATACGATTAGAGAAAACATAAATTAGTGAAATAAAATAAAACTTTATAGAGAATTGAAAAACCAAAGGACGATTCAAAGTCATGTATCACCCAAAGCCCCTAACCATTGGTCACAATAATCACATAGACTACAATTACATAGTATGCAACTACCAACATGGCTCAATCCAGTTGTCAGTGTCTTCATGAAATAATGCCATGTCTCGGTTTTGCAGTCGCTGACTTTCCCCCAACGTGCTCCTACAGCAGCCATCAGTTCAGGTGATATGTTGATGAACATAAACAGTACAAGTCTTAACCATCTTCAAACGAAATCATTCACCGTTTTCACTCGACTAATAGTGGAATGCAATTAATTGACTGATTTATATGTAAAATAACTGATTGTATTCCCCAAAAAGCCATAGGTTATAACATAATTTCAAGCGATTCAGTAGAAATATATATACAATTTTTTGTGGAGATTAGTTTAGTCTGTACATGATAAATGTCACGAATTGACCTCAGCTGATACTTCGAAGGCATGAATACCACCTACAAGTACTTACAGAATGTTCAAAATGGGTTCGATGAAAAGCATTCGACTTTTCAATCTCGTCGTCTTTAGTTCCAGATATACCTGAGTACTTGTAAGAGAATTCATATTATGAAACTAAAAATGCCAGCGTTTACAAGTGAAATACATTAGAATATATTTTAAAAATACTTTTAGCATAGGGTACTTTTGGAAATTGTTGAACTTTGTAGTTCGAAATTACCGACAGATATTAGTTAAACAACGGCTGAAAACCAGAAAGCACTGAACATTTGTCTCGTCCTATGACGGAGCTTAGCATTCTCCGCCACAACACCACTAAGGGTTGAACTCAAGAAATTCAGAGGTCATATAGAGCACTTAGAGTCATAATCAATAAGCTGAAATTTAATGATCTAAATTTCCAACTTCAAACAATGTTTAACAGCGCAAAGGTTGTACGTGATCACTATGTTATTTTTAACATGCCGGAACTGCAGCAGACACAAATTTCCGCTGGGACTCGTCTCAAAGTCAATTACGAGTGAAGATAAGACTACAGTTCGGTTGATGGGTTTAGTGAAGATTAGCATAATTGATGGTTTTCGTCACTAGGTAGTTTTCAAAAGTCTCCTAAGTGTTTAAAGTTTTACTCTGATATGATGGCGTGGTGTAGCAACTTGATTCAACGCTCACATGTAACAGATTCTACGTTACATTTGACTGGATGAACTGATCCCAATCCATGAGACAAAAGAAAACAAAACTTATGAAAGGAATTTCTTACCTATCTCTTTCAATACAATATCTCGATGTAAAATAATATGCATCAAATGGACATGTTCCATGATAATAAACTAAATAAGCTGGTCCATTTGGTGGTAATTTCTCCATACCAATTACTTCATAACCGTGAAATATACGTCCATGGGCATCCCATACAGCAGCAACAATACGACGTAATAATTCTGCTAGTGAATCTAAATATATGTGACTAGTAGATGATATAGATATTGATGGTGAAGTTGACGACTGTCTGAACTTGGACAATAAACGATTTAAATGACGACGTAACCAAAAACGTAAATGGTATAAATGAAGTAAAATGACAGTGAAATAAATAAAAAAGATTAATAAAAATGGAAGTAGAAAACATAAAAGAAGTGGATGACGTAACCAATAAACAAATGCGATGAAATATCCAGATCCAGGCAAACTAATAAGATAATCTAACCAACTGGATGGTATAATATTAGTTAATGTTTGATTACCAGTAAATAAATTGTATAACTGATAGAACAAATTCTGTTCATCCTGAGCTAGACAATAGGTGGAATGTAACCAGAAGGATAAATAAATGAGAAGACAAAAATTCATTTCTTTATAGATAAACAAAGAAAGTAAGGAAGTAATGAAACGAACTGTTCAATATTTTCTACTTTAAAAGTTGGAAGATAGATGGAAAGGCAAAAGGGAGAGAGAAAGCAGAACATTGGATATTATCAATGTATCGTCATTATCTACAATAAAATCGGTGAAAAATAAACACAAATTAGTTTCATTTGAGCAACCTTATAAGTCTTTACAGATTTTCAATAACAAGTTGATATAAGCTGAAAAGTGATTTTAAAAAATGTAGCCCCTTTAAATGTCCTGATATGGCCGTGAGTGGGGAGAGTCAGATCTCCCTCTCCAAATGCTCTCACATGGCCACGCGTACACAGTTACTGCCAGGGAAGTTCTACAAATTGCCTTCTAGCACCAGAGGTGTTGTTTACGAAATTGAGAGGACGAAAAGCCAATGTCCGACGCTTTAACCGGGTTGGTGGATTCACCTAAGGAAGTTGGGAAACCCTGATTCTAAACCAATGGTACACATAGATTTCAGGATTCTGAGGAAAAAATGGCGTGTGAACCTATTATTGGTCACCGGATACCATGGAACTGAGTCTCCAGACGTTGCTCCACTGCCTTGTGGATCATACTTTTAGGTCGAAGGCTCCGGGGGTAACGCCCTTAGAAAATCATCTGCTTCGGTCTGGGCATCCAGGTAGTGTCACAGCTAACACAGATTTAGTGACCTGTATTCGGTGCCCCTTTGTACCAATATCTATGAGTGTAAATAAATAAACAAGCTACAATAGACAATCACTATCTTTTTACTGAGTCAACCATTCTAAATCACTAGATCGTTAACATAGATTTCAGGAATAAAAATTATATATATATCATCTTGAACAATCGAAAGGCTATTTCACAAAATGAACAAGGAAGACACGTAAAATGTGTTGACAGTACAGGGAATGTTTGGTTAAATTTTTGTTTTTCTTTATAGGAGAAATTTATCAAACTGAAGCCTTCACGTTAACATTTAAATGATTAAAATGCAACCTATCAAATCAACTCAGTAAAAGAACTGCAAATATTTACGATACTTAGGTAGTAGTCTTCATACTTATATATATTAAAGTTCTAGTTCACAGACGATTTGCCTACACTTATGTTGATGATGGAGTATCCCAATCTCCCTATTTTGAGGACAATTTTGTCCATTTTCAGGAAAGTTTGGGGAAGCCAGAATAGTAAACTTTGGGGAAACGGCACAAAACCCCCAAACTTTCAGCAGGTCTGGGGAAAATCCCAAACATTTTGGAGAAATTATGGATTTTCCCAAATATTCCCTCAGAAACTTATAACACTTTGGGGTTTTCCCCATAAATTTGGAGAAAACTACCAAACTTCTCACGAATTTTAGGAAAACCCAAAAATTTACCAAAGTTTCTCCAAAATAGGGAGATTAAGATAAAAACCGATTTCAGAGGACGATCTTCGACAACGAAGATATATTGGGTGTACACACATTCTTTCAGCCCCCTTCGTTATGTGAAACAAAGGATAGGTAATGTCACATCACTCATGAATTTTGATACCATACATTTACTTGGAGTGTACATAGCGATTTAGTGTACATCAGTCAGAAAGCACCCAATCAACCAACAAAGGGGAAACGCGCCAAAATGTCTACTTTTTACCTAATCGGGGAGAACAATGCGGATTTTACAGTTTATGTCGCTGAATTGTCTACTCTCGCCTAAACATACGCTAAATTGTCTACTTTTCGCCAAATACACGCCGATTTATCTAATTTTGATTCAACATTTAACACACATTCGGCATAACCCCAGACGCCTTTACTCCCATAACACCACACAAAAACTGCAATCTACGTTAAAAACAGTACATATTTAAAGTTAATATCTAGTTGCGTGGTAAGTACTCCCTCCGACTTTTAGCGTAAATGCCGTACACTAGACTTGATATCAGTATGGAAAGCTTCAGAGTATCGATTGTTTCTTCGGTTTACTTACTAGAAAATCGAAAATTACATAATAGCGTTAAGGAATCCGTCGGAATTGATTTAAAAGACATTCCTAAGGAATATGAATAGTGTTATGGATCTGAAAACTTAGTTTGTTGCAGTACCTTCCTGGCAATTTCCGTGCACACGGAGCTTGAAAGAGTTGTTCAGATTCCCTATTCGAGTCTTATATGAGACAAATTAAGAAATCAGTGAACAGAATGTATGCCGTTGCTAAGCAAGCAGCTCAGAGTTATGCGGAAAAAATGTGTTTCTGTAATGGGCTTTAAGCGAGCATTTCGACTAATAGTACCCTAATAACCGGTAAAGGTGACTCACGCAAACAAGTAATTATGCATAAGAATACTAAAATAACTTCATTTTAGCAGGATAACGTTGTACTAGTACACGGAAAGCCTGGTTTGGTCACTGATGTAGAATCCGTCAGAAGGAACTTACGAAACTTTCTTAAGAAATACGAATGGTGTTATGGGTATGAAAACTTAATTTACAATGTTCATTTGTTACAGCACCTTCCTGACGACGTTCGTGCACATGGACCTTTAGATAGTTTTTCAGCCTTTCCATTCAAGTCTTACATGAGACAAAGAAATCTGTGCATGGCGGGTATGCTGTTGCTGAACGAGCAGCTCAGCGTTATACTGAGATGTCCTGCGATAGGCTACAGGTTAGCTGTCTAACTAATACTACCCCAATAGTCGCTAAGGAGGTCTCCAATAAACAAGTAATTATGTTTAAGAATTGTAAATTAACTTCATTTAAGCCTGATAATGTTGTAGTAGTAAACGGACAACCTGGTTTAGTCGCTGATATAGGGGACGATGGACTACTAAAATTTAGGTCTTTCACTGACCCACGCAATTACTTCGAAGATCATTTCCCATCTAGTGATATAGGAATGATTATATGCTCCGTAGTTAGCCATGAATACACATGGGTATCGGTTAAGGACATTGACTCTAAATGTATAATCATTAGTTGTATGAATTATTTAGTTATAGTCCCATTGTTGTATACTTTTATGTGAATGTATTTTGCTTCATTTGTGCTTAATTCATGATAATAAACCATTTCATTACATTTTATGTTACGTTTAGCCCGCTAACAAACAATACGTCATTGTTGACGTTCCTAGCAAGAAACAACTAATGATAGCAGCCAAGCAGTGGATTGTTGGCAAAAAACTTTGCCTTTTTCCAACGGAGCTGGTCGATATCCACCTCCAAAACTGCGACCGATCAGATGACAATTGGTCAGTTCTGAAATGTAAAGTAATTCACGAAATCGGTGAGTACCAAACATAGAAACTATAATTTACTATAGATTCTCTGCAGTCTGCAAAGGATATGTTAGTTTCCCTCCAAATACTGGAGCTTCATCGTAAAAACACCTTGCCACTCAACACTGAGAAGCCCAAGAGGTCAGTACAATAATCTTACTAACATTTCCTAGAGGTGTATTGAAGCGTAAAGAAGGATTTCTTTACAATTCAGTAGACATGGATGTTGCCGAGATGCAGGCTGGAAATAGCCACGTACAATATCCGAAACTTCGTTTGTTTGGCAAAGTTGTCTCGCCAATTTCCAAGTACATTTCATTACCATTTAGATGTTAGTGAAGTAGTTCGACACAATTAGATACATCACCGTCAACGTTAGAATCTAAGCATGTAGGCTGTGCTTCAGCGGCCCAGTAAGCCACCTGTACGATCACGTGAAGTTTATCAGATTTGATAAGTTGTATATAATGGTGCAGAACATGTCGTCAGCTATTATTGACTTGAGTACAAATATAAAGCTGCTACTAGCGAAGTTCAGTGAACGCGAACATCCGCATCAATTTGACTACGGACTATCAATTCAGCAGTTCCCTTTATCATCTGAAGAGGAACTGCAGATGCTGGACACTGGTTTGCAGCAGAAAGAAACTAGGGACAGATTTGTAAGTCAACAACATTAATTTTATAAGTTGTTCGTATTCCAGATGTCCATGGTAACAAGGTTAATGGATAATGATCATAAAACCTCAATGCGATATGTTTTGTTGTACCTCATGACACCTGAGGTTGCCAGTAATTTCACACTACTTGGCACTTCTTCAAAACGAGCACTTCAGAAATGCCGGTTTTACGGCTGTATACGAAGTAACATATAACTATTATTTAAACTTCAGGTGCATTAACAAATCGCTTTTTGTCATCGTTTGTCAACGGAAAAGACCTGGCGAAACTGTAAGATATCGCGACACAAGGTGATTTTCACGATGTCAGAGCGTAATAGGAAACAAGAACAGGTATGTACTAATTGAAAGTGATAACTTCCCTACTGTTTTATAGTCACAGGCAACAGTGTCAACGAACATAACCGTAAGTGAAGCTTCAAGTATCTGGCTGTGCCAAAGCATGTCATTCAGATATCGATGTAACTTCTTTAGTTCTTTACACTTCAGAATCCACAGGAAGATTATTTTAGTTCTCAATAAGCATTAATCCGCGAAGTGTATTTTATGTTCTATTCATTTTTCAATAAACATTATTTTGTAAATGAGCCTACTTCCTTACTTACATGGGAAACTATTTAAGTATTGAGAAATTGTGTTTGATTGTCAGTGAACTTGCGATTCAATACACATGCCTTATTAATAATACACCACCTGTTTATTCTTTTGGAGATCTTTTCAAATAACAACGAATCGGCAATTACAATGAAAATGCATAACGACTGATGCTCAAGCTTCTGCTGTAGTGTTGTACAATAACACGCTTTTCATTTTCAATAAATTTATTTAAGCACATACCATTTTTCCCGTGGATTGCAGTTTTAGTGTGGTTCGTTGTGGGGATAAAGGCGAACATAGGAGACCCTTAGGGCTATGCCAATGGTGTTCTAAAAGTTGGAACAAAAGTAGACAATTCAGCCTAAAGTTAAGCTAAAAGTAGACAATTCGACGTATATTTCGGTGAAAAATAGACAATTCAGCGGATATTTAGGCGAAATGTAGACAATCCAGAGACATTTGAGCGACAGAGCGACGAAAAGGGGAAATCCACATCATTTCCCCCCGACAGACGAAAAAGCAGACATTTTGGTACGTCTCCCCTTTATTGGTTGATTGGGTAAAGAGTAAAATGCATACAAAATATCCAAAGGTTTTCGAGAAAGTTTAGACAAAACAAAAGTAATTGATCTATTCTCAGATAATGAAGAAACTCAGGGAACTGCTTACAATATCAACGACATATCCGAGGTTTCGCAAAGTAAACCAACGCCAGTGAATCACCTTGAACAACCAATGCCGCGAACTTGAAACTGATGGATTGTAACATATTCAAAATTTTCTCATTAGCTACCGCTTTCATCTTTTTATCCTACTGTCACTAGTTTTTGTTAATTGATCTGAAAATTGAGTGAAGGCTATTCTTTGTGCTGATAGAGTCGTCAGCTTAGTGCTTTTCACTGACTCTTTCCACTAATCCAAACTTTCCTATGAAAGCTGTCTATCACACTACCACAGCAAACAAAGTACATTTGGATTATAATCAAACTGTCTCAAGGATAAAAATTATTTTTACTGACATCATAATTTGAATTTACATGATGTAAATGTGTCCCTTTCGACTGTGGTAATAAAAGAGGGTTGTAGGGTCAGTGAAATGTCACTGAGCGCTAACCAAATCATCCGGCAGCTGGATCACTGAATATCGGACATATCATCGATTCCTGTCAGGACCAAGGACAATCGTATGCCATGAAATGGTACATGCGGTTGTGATCACATTTTCACTTGAACCTACTTTTAATAATATATTCCTGTAATAACGTCTTTTGTGTTGTACAGTCTTCAAAGCATCCATAGTATCGTGATACAGCGAAGGGGCAGTCCACACTAGGTGGCAACCGCGAGGTGTGACTTCAACGTTATCTGTTGGTTACACCATTCCCGTCTAACTCGATTGGCCCCGCAATCACTCGACAAAAACCATCAATGTTGATGATCAATACTTTAAAAGACAGGTTAATAAATAAAGGATCAGTATGGGGACTGAAAACAAACGATAGTTTATGATGCCACAGCTAGAAAAACATTTTTTTATGATGTCCATCACTTCAACTCGAACCTTCAGAAGCAACCTTCGTCAATATCTAACCAAATTAGGCCTCCAGTCATTCGATACAGATCATCTATGTCAGTGATTTACATGTACACCTCACAGTGAGACGATGTTTAGTTAAGTGCGAATGAAGTTGTAGCAGTACCAGACCACAAAGAAACAGATTTTGCAAATGAAGCTCTGGTTTCATAGTCAAAAACAGCCCTATTGGCATTGCAGAACTCTAAAGCCAAACTCTAGAAAAAACAAACTCATGTTAGACGCGACATTTATTGAGAAAGTAGAAGGAATTCGTATTCAAAAATTAATTGAAGCAACACACTATATGCAAGTGTACCAAACGAAAATTCAAAATTTTTGTAAGACAAAAGCTTTCAATTAATCAACCTCCTATCAGATTTCTCATGTTATTATACCAGATATTGGTTTTCCTAATGATTCACATATTTTCGATGGAAATCCTTGCAGAACTGAAAAGAATATGTTGAATGAAACAAATCATGGTCGGAAATCTGGTGCTGATTTTTTTCTAATGATTCATAGTTCTCCAATGATGTTTTTAATAAATTTGATGAAAATATTTCATATGTATCAAATCTTAATAATATCACATCAAATGTCAGTTGTCCTCATAGTGTAATTGTTTCCGATGGAAAACTTGGTTATTGTGAAACACAAGTTCAAAGTGAATTCAAACGTTATAATAGTTCAGATGACCCCATATCAAATGTTATCTAACATCACCATGAAGTCGTACTGGCATCGGATCCTAACCACAATCCTCAAAGCTGAACGTAAGATAACTGGGAAAAAAGAATATCAACATGTAACACTAAGAGGAGGTCAATAGTGATAGACGTGCTAACATTAATTCAAAATTAAAATCATCGGGTGGCATGGGTTGGCCTTTCAGGTGTGATCATTCTGTATGACTTGTTTTTACTGATATTAAATGTATTGTTCTATCTCCAGCCTGAATATGTTCTCCATCATAAATTGGTAACTGTTACGATATGAACCGATGTAGACAGTGATGTGACTTCTGCGTAAGATCTTATACCTTAGGCAGTTACAACATGATAAATCTACAATTTTAGGATTAGATATATTATTAAGCTGTACTAAAAACGAAGTAGACCGTAAATCTACAAAGTCAGTCTTAATAGATCCACTAGTCAATATGAGAATTATGTTTTAAATAAAGCCATATTGTTTGCAACTTGAGGATATTAAGATCCAACACTATTTCGTGGGAGAGGATGGTGTCAGGATTTGAACGTCCAATCTGTAAGAGAAGAGGAGGTGTTATTTCCTAACGAAGAATTATTGAATGGTAACTGCTATAAAATATTATTACATATATTTCTACCAGAGAACTATTGAGTAACCATGTTATGTGTATGTTGACATCCCTTTTATCATATGATTTTATTTGGTCTATTGGCTACTATATATACTATTTGCTATTCTCAAGTTACTCTCAATCTATTTGTTAAAGTCTCTCACTGTCATCAGAATTGATTACTTCAAGTGGTGTTCGTCAGGGCTAACCACTCTCCCCATTCTTGTTTAACTTTGTGGTAGACGTACTTTTAGAGATAACACTCTCCTCATCTAAATTTCCAGGGGTTGAACTTCTACCGGGAGGTTCACTTGTTGACTAAGAATATGCTGATGACATAGTTTTATTTGCTGAAGACGCTGACAAAATGCAGAGTCTTCTGACCACTCCAAGCAACAATCCAAGCATGTTCGGGATGCGATTCTCCCCCTCGAAATGCAAAATGTTGCTTCAGGATTGGGTTACATCGACACCCGAACTAATGATAGGGAGTGAAGTAATTGAGCGTGTCGATCGCTTCACTTATCTTGGAAGTCTCATCAGCCCTCGTGGTTTGGTGTGTGACGAAATCTCAGCACGGATACAGAAGGCTCGACTAGCTTTTACCAACTTGCGTCGTTTATGGCGTACGCGAGATATCCGTCTATCAACCAAAGGACGTGTTTACTGAGCAGCAGTTCGTTCCGTCCTACTTTATGGCAGTGAAACATGGCCGATAAGAGTAGAGGATATCCGTAGGTTACTAGTATTTGATCATAGGTGTCTTCGAAATATTGCTCGTATATCCTGAGACCATCGAGTAGGTAATGCAGTTGTTAAGAAACGGGTACTTGGGTAAGGATGGAAAATCAATTGATGACGTAGTGAAACTTCATCATTTGAGATTGCTGGGACATGTGTTACGTATGCCCAACCACCGACTGCCTCTATGTGCGATGTTTTGTTGTATAGGAGTAGATTGGAAGAAAGCGGCCAGACCAAAATATGGCACAAGTCCATGAAGTCACTGACAAGTGGACTGAACCATGTTGGTAGGTGTAGACTTACCTGGTTGGGGACCGCGAGATGGTAGCAACCGATGGTTAGAGACCCTGAATGACATGACTGAAAATCGTTTGCAATGGCGCAGGTGCATCCACTCTTTGTGTTTTCTCAAATTCCAATCTTCTGAATTCACGTCCCTTATTTTTTCTCTTTCTAAATTTATTTCACTGGATTTTATTCCTTAAATAACATCTTCAAACCCTAATCTTCCCGATTACTGCTTATACTTTTACTACTCCTACCACTATGGGATTTGAATCGGCAACTGCATTTCTGTGCTAATGTGGTATGGCAACTCGAACTGATGTACGTGCGTACGAAGTTCTACGTTGTTGCTGACTGATTGAACCCAATATTTTTATTTTTCTTTTCCTATGATTCGTGATTTGTAATTAATATGGGTTCATTTAAATCTAATTCCTAATTACATCACGTTTTAAACGTTTTTTATGAATCTTAATCCTTCATTTGCCGCTCTTTTTATAGGATTTTCCAGGTTAGTGCTTGTCGCTCTATACTCCAAATTAATTGCTCATGTTGCTGCAAACAACTCGAAAACTGAGATTGTCATCCACTCGGAGGAGGATGCCTGTTTCTGTTCACATAATGTATATTCTGTTCTGCCCGAATGGTAAAATGACGTGGTAAGCGGTACACAGTAATTCACTCCGAAGTAGCTGCGATACCTTCCACGACTGATTTATATCACCGGTTGAAGTAGCCAGTCTATCAATTAGTTCTTTTCACTCCTGACGACTGTGATAGAGTGTGCAGAGGTATAGTATATATTTAAACCCATACGTTGCGAATTAAAACAAACCGTTCTCTCTGTTAGACTTAGTGGGCACTCACGCAACCAAAAATATTACTGTTATATATTTTTGCGGTCATCAGCTGACGGAAATCATGCTGTTTTTCACTAGTATTTGAGAATTTTCATACAGTATATGATCAGGTTTCACTTCAAAGATGAAGTCTTGTTAAAATATTTTAGTAGTGTTCTTTACTGATGTTGGAAGAGATCAACCATTAATTACAACAGTGGTGCATTGTTGATAGATATTCGAAATACCGAGAACACAGTTGACATACGATTACTTCAGCATCTTAAACCATATAGGCTCAGTGACACTGGTGACATTCTTCCTGGATTCGTTTGAGCCACGATGAATATAACCGCCATGCTTCGTACAACAATGCTTGGTATATCTCTAAAGAAGTTTAAATTGACAGTGGACTAAAAAGACAAAATTACCAGTCCGGCTAGTAAGTCGTTGGGTAAAGACTAAGGTAGTTTGTAGCCATTAAATCAATGGAAAGATTTTTTCGATGTCTATTCTGAACTGTGTGATGAAGGGAAATTTTAGCCGGGAAACAATATGGTTTGGAGAAAGGTCTTTCACACCTCACAAACC